TCAGCGACGGGCACCCAGTATCCTAAAGTGACGAAAAAAGCAAAAATTCATAATGTTATATGGATGGGTGCAAAAGTAATCAAACCATTAACTTTAACTTAACACTATTAGCTTTGATCGTTAAATACTGACTGTGTATGCCACGTGTCAATCTTTGCTGACGTGAACTAAAAAAAGGGCAAAAATATCTACAAAGTCATCGACCAGGAGCAAAAATACCCATAACATTACTAAAATTGGTGCAAAAGTGACCAATACATTCAATCTCTTAAATATTAACTGTTTAACTGACAATTAAGTAGAAGTTAACTATTTTTTTACTGATGTAAATAAAAAATATTTCTAGATGAAATTCTCCAGAAGTTAATTAGTTATTGTATGACTATCATGTGAGAAAATGTTATTTTGACTGAATATCAAATTAAATTGCTTATTTTTTTTTGCAATAGTGGCGAAAATCATTTGAAACTTTTGAATCTATTATGAATGCAATTGCTTAAGATTGTGACAATATTTTTAAGTTAGATGTGCTCAGTCTTGATCTTCGATTTTGAACAACCTATTTCACTATGTTAAATCTCAAGCTTTACAAATAAGAAAAATGAGTGGATAGGGAGAAGGAAGGGAGTGAGATACATTGTGATGGAAAGAAACCATATGGCATTGATTTTAATAGATTGATCACTATTGCACCTATTAAAGTAACATTATAGGCACTCATACAATGATCGATTAACATCCGTAAAAATTCATCCAAGAATATTTTTTATCTACATCAGTGAAAAAATAGTCAACTTTTGCTTAATTGTCAACTAAACGGTCAACATTTAAGGAATTGGATGTATTGGTCACTTTTGCACCAATTCTGGTAACGTTATAGGTATTTTTGCTCTTGGCTGATGACTTCGTGGGTATTTTTACCCTTTTTTTAGTCCATATCAGCAAAGATTGACACGTGGCATGCACAGTTAGCATTTAACGGTCATAGTAAATGGTGTTAAGTTAAAATTAACAGTCTGATTACTTTTGCACCCATCCATATAACGTTATAAGTATTTTTGTCCTTTTCATTACTTTAGGATATTAGGTGCCTGTCATTGACTACTTTGTGGATATTTTTGTCCCTTTATCCTAAATTATTTTATTTGAATAAGCTCTTATAAATTATAATGTCTCATTTTTATTTTATTTTTATCAAAATCTTAAAATTTGTAATTTTTTGTAATTTGATTTATTCATCATGCATGCATGCATAAGGGTGAAAGCTAGTTTTCCCAAAAATTTGTTGATTGATTTTTTTTAAGATAATTAAATCTTTATTAACATTGAACGGAAGAGGCTCAATGTCCCTTAAGCATGGTCATTGTTCAAACTTTAAAGATAAAAAAATAGCGTTAGAAGAGTTATCTTCTAATTAGGATTGTCAATACTTGGATCTAATCTAATCTTTAGATCCCAAATAAATGTATAAAAAAGTAATTAAGGCTTCTTTACTGTCACTTTAAGCTTTTGTTGTTGGTGCTTTAATTTAGTTTATATTTCCTTGTTAACATAATATTAGCTGTATTCATCAAATGCAATATAATTTAACCATTTATATTACCAAAAGTCCAAACAACGATGGTTTTGGGCCCAACATCACTGTTAAACCGTTGGTTATTTATTATTAAATAAAAATTAAAGTGGTTGGCCAAAGTAGATAAAAATTAAATTAAAGTACAAATTAATTTCTGCATCGATCTTCTCACCAAAAAATAAAAAACCTGTATCTATCAACTTGTCTTTTTTTATTTTTATTTTTCATATATAAATCTATCGAGAATCACAATAGAGTTTCTCCATTATTGACTCTAAATTCGGTTCAAAAGTTAGCCCTACACACAATCATGCATTTTTTATGTAGGGCTCCTTTACTTAGTAATATTGATTGAACTTCAGCCTCATTTATGTTTTAGCATAATTGGTTAATATTGATTAAAAATAAAAGAAGCGTAGCTATCAAACTATCAGCATTTGCAAAGAAGATAAATATATCATTTGTTGATGAGAGAAATGTCAAAGTTTGCAAGCACATTTCCTCTTGGACTCTATCACAAAAACAGGCCACCATTTTATTCCCAATTATTTCTTTTTCTTCTTCTTTTTTTTATGAAAAGGAATATTCCCATGTGATCTATCATTGAACACATAATTGACATGCCCAATGAAAAATACCAAAATTTCTATTAATGAGAGAAAAATTAAATTCAACCTTTCATTCAAGGTAATCTGAGTACGTTTTCTTATTTTTTCTTTCTTCCTTTCCTTCTCTCTTTCTTTTCTGCCTGTCCTCACATGGTTTTGCTTGGCTTCTTCTTTTTTTCCTATATATACATAATAATATTGATCACACGTAATATGTCACTTGTTTTTATTCTCCTGTGTGTTGTGATGTTAATAAATAATAATTAATCTCTTTTCATACCCGCATAAATAATGGAAACAGAGCAAAGAGACATGAAAATTTGTATTTTTTTTTTATACACCTAAATAGAGGTGCAAATAGCGTTTACAATCAACAAGTTTAAGACTTGTTGGGTAAATATCATCCCATATTGAGAAGTATTTTCTGGCTTTTCAAATGTGAAAAGTTGTTTGAAAATTTTTTGATTGGGCAAATGTCTTTTTTAAACATAGGTTTAGAAAGTCATTGAAAGTAAATTAGTCAAGGTGACATGCATACGCTTTTGAAATGCAGCTGAAAGCACATTCTCAGCTGTTACACTTTTCCACCATTCATCATTTTAACACTTGTTCCATCATCATAGTGTCCCTTGTTCAATTTTTTTTTTCATACTTGAACACATGTTTTAATGAAAAATAGTCAAATAAAACAAAAAAAATATTATAAACTGTAATAAATAATTAAATTCTTTTAAAAATAATTTACGATAAGAATTAAATTTTTTTCTAAAAATGTCTTATAAAAAGATTAGGGGTATAAAATATGATTATGAATTTATGCATTTTAATGATGAAAATATGATTAACTCTCATGATAATTGCACTGACCATGTACCTCTATCTTAATTTTAAGTATAACTTTTAATACAGAGATGAAAAGAGTTCATGATTTAATTAGAAATAAGATTATACATTATAGATGGAGTAATTAATCATGTTAATTTTTTATATTAATATATGTTAAATTATTTATTATATAATTTTTTTTCAACATGCCAAACTTTATATTTTTTATTCTTATTATTTAACATATCAAATTTTATATTATTTAAAATTTTTATAACATTTGTTAAACATTATGTTTGTATCACAAAAATTATAAATCATCATAAATCAATATCATCATTGGTAATTATATATTCAAAAAAATATTTCACTATATATATAATACAAACAACTTTTAGCTTACCAAATTAATTTTAAAAAAATATAAATAAATAAAATTTTGTTATAATAATTAATTTTTATTAAACTGATCTTTATTAAATAAAATTTTGCAAATTGACTTTTGATTAATAAAAAAAATAAATATGCACTTAATATTTGTCATTGAAAGGGAGAATACCTTCCAATTTTGATTGGATTTAAAACAATTTTCAATAGTTCAAGCTTACACGTTATATTAGTTACCTAGTTGATATTTAAAGCTTTAAAAGTATATTTATTCGAACACAACTATTTATAATTAAATATACTAAATTTGATGAATTTATAACTTTTTTTTTTGTATATGTCTCTAATAATATAAAAAATATGATTTTTCATATGCCTCAAGGTCAACTCAATATTTATTTTTGCGTGATATAAACAATTGAAAAATTGTTTATCAAAAAACATATTTGGAAAATTAAGTTCAGCTCATTCACAACACAAGGAAATTAAGAAATTTAAAATTATTAAACTAGTAAATAATTTTTTTTGAAAAATTTAAGAGTTAAGAAAAAATTATTAATCTAAAACCTATTTTTTTATTTTTAATTATTGAAAATAATTTTAAATTTAAAATAGACACTCTCAATTGAAAATTTGATCCCTAATTCTTCGAAGAAAAAAAAAAAACTCTTGTTGCCAACCATAGATTTTATAAATATGTTTTTCTTATATTTTTTTTTGAGATGAGATCTTTTTTTCTTATATACATTAGACTAAGTGTGAGAGAAGGTTACTTGGTTCAGAGACTTGGATTTTAGTCATTTTACATTTGAAAATGATGATTTAATGACCACAAATTATTGCGCAACAATCTTCTTAAGAGAGCGAAAGATTTTGCTCTCACAAAGTTGTTGATATTCCGCAATCAAAGAGCACAAGTTCAGACGAAGGAGTTTCACACTCAATGGTCACAATCACAGCGTCCATGTACTCTAAAGTAAGCGTGAAATTGTGGACTTGAATTGTACTGCTTTGTTTTGCACCAAAATAATAATAATAATAACAATAATAATAATAATTGTACTGCTTTGTCAGACAGGGACGAGGAAGTTACAGACTCGGAAAGAAGGGAAATGATGAAAGTGTCGCCATTCCAGTTCGCACGAATCGAACAATGTAACAGTAAAATTTTTTAAATAAATCAATTGTAAAACATTATTTATAATCTATTCAATTAAAATACTTTAAAATATATAAATAAAAATTATTTTAATTAATTTTATTTTTATAATAAAATACATAATTAATTTATTATTTTTTATTTTTATTAATATTATAATTAATTTATATTTAATAACATTTGATGTTACGTCTTCATCGGGAGGAACTATAAATGGTGCTTTACGCCCAATTTACTTAAAAATTTATCATATAACAAGTTCAAAGCCAAATTAATAGTATTATTAGGTTATTAGTTGTAGAATTAGAATCATTTTTTTAATGTTTTTGTAAAGTTTGTAGTAAAATTCGTCGACCAATGGGCGGGAATAACGCGCGTGCTGTTTAAAAAACTGGAATAAATTTACCAGCAAATCAAATCTTCATGATACGGGAAAGAGGGAGAGAGAAAACTAGGTGTGGACTTTTTTGAGTTTTTCTTTCAGCCCACCCTCCCTTCCAATTCAAGACAATCACATGGTCCTACTCCTTCCTCCTCTGTCCCGATTCTGAATTTATTTTTCCGTCCCTCAGGAACAAACCTGTTGGATAATATTTCTGAAATCATCCTCCCAAGATGTTCCTTCAATCCTTACAATTCTCCTGACATTCCTCTCAGATCTCCGGAACCTGTCTCTTTTCCGCATTCTATTATATGTCTTGTTCAACCTCTCACCGGAAGCAGGTATCTGAATTCTTAAAATATAGCTCGATTCAAATGCTTTCCGTGTTGATTGCTCTCTGGGATTTCCAGATATTTTATAATGAGTACTCGAAGTTGCTTTCTTTGTTTTTCCTTTTTCTCTGGGTTGCATGTGATATTTCAAGCCGGTCACTACATTCAGCGTTCATTGGTATTTCGATATTGCCATTTGTTCCCAATTCTATCAAATGGCGTGAAATTGGGGAGAGTCGGTAGGTGTATGTCATATGAGTTGTTGGAATTTTGAGTCTCAAGTAAGAGTGCCCATTAAACATTAATTTTCAAAAGGGTATTGCAATCGTCCATCTTCACTGGATTACGTGTTGCGACCACTGACATCTTACACTCCCTTTTGGGCGGTTTTACCAGAAGTTAAAATCGAGTTAGATGGACTGGGAAGTGAATTCTAAGCAAAGCTGATAACTACATTTTATTTTATTTTCAATTTGAATATGCGTCTGGTGCTCTGGTTCAACAGTTCAGGCTGATCTTTTTTTCTTGGGGTGCGTTCTGCTTACAGATTTTGACGGCTCTGAACTTCGTGTACCGATTGAATCCATTCATCAATCAATTTTACTCTGATCAAGTTCCAAATTTCTTCTTACTTCAAGCCAAGAGATTGAGATTCCGTTAGCAATGAACTTTTTCCATACAGGATTGGGGATTCGTGTAAAGAAACACTAGACAAAGTCACTGTGAAGTAATAGGTAGGTGCTGCTTTGTGTTAATTGTAGATGGACCGACGAAGTTGGCTATGGCGCAGGAAGTCATCTGAGAAGAGTCCTGGTGAAACTGAGAGTTCAGGGTCAATATCGTCTTATTCGGAAAGATTCTTTGATGATCAGGTAGGACAGTGGTATGACTCTGTTCTGCCCATCTCTCTAAATAGTTTCTCTTCATCTTGGTTCGGCATTTCCGTGAAAGGCAAAACTAATTCCAAGTAGCTTTCTGTACCCTCGCGGTGTCATAAGTTTTCTCGGCCGCAGTCATTTTCTAAAGCATATAGGCTTTTAGCATCATAGATAATCGTTGAGGTTTGATATCTCCGGTTATTCAAGTTATTGTGATGTTGGAAAAAAAATTTGACGGACTCTGATGTTTCTACTATTTTTTCCAAGGCATATCCAACCCAAACTAATCCATCACCAGAAGTCACGTCTAAAGCTGCACCCATTGAAGAAGTTAGTGACGTGAAGATTCTAACAGAAAAATTATCTGCTTGTCTTCGAAACATCAGGGCCAAAGAAGACTTGGTAAAGCAGCATGCAAAAGTTGCTGAAGAAGCTGTCTCAGGTACTATTTCTTGGACCTCCTTTCATGCCACAATAAGTGATGCTACCTCATTATGTTTATTATCGCATCAATTTGAGATTCATCCAAGTCATAACTCAAAAGTAAACCCTTAAAAGATGATGTTATTGGGAGAATATGAACAAAACTTACATGGGGAACAGATACTGAGAGTCATAATCAACCGCCAACAGTTTAGTCATTGTTTCATACGTCAGCGAGCATTAATGATATGCGCATGCCCAATGCTGAAGACAACTGGGGAGCTAATTCATGTCAAAGAAAATATTTACTCACTATCTCTAAATTTTCGTAATTTGATTGTCAGGCTTTCTTGGAATGAGAAAGCTAATGACTTTTGGCTGTTGCTACTGTCATTGCATAGATTATTGTTTACATTTTTTTTTTCAAGTGCAGACTATTTTTTATGGCTTTGATGGATGAAAATTCTAAATGAAAGCTAAAATTGTCTTTTCCTGATCCGTGGATTAAATTCATATTTGGAGTATCCATAATCCATAATACTTGCTTTATCTGTGAGCCCATGGCTATCATATGTATACTGCATTCTTTTGGCAAGTTCATCCATAATTCTTTGGAAAGCTTATTACCACCTTGGTTTTCTATCTTTTCTTTTCTTGCAAGTTGAAAACTTAAATTTACAAATGCAATAAGTTCCTGATATTGGCTTTTGGGTGTGTTTAGGCTGGGAGAAGGCTGAAAATGAAGTATTGTCTTTGAAACAACAACTTAATTCTGCAAATCAGAAGAACTCAACTCTTGAAGATCGAGTTAGTCATCTTGACGGGGCACTCAAGGAGTGTATGAGGCAATTGAGACAAGCTAGAGAAGAACAAGAGCGAAAGATCAATGAAGCTGTTGCAAATAGCTCTCGTGACTGGGAATCCAAAATATCTGAGCTTGAGGCTCAACTTCAAACTGCTAAAGCTGAATCTTCTGCATCAATTCGTTCTGATCTTCACCTTAGACTTGAGGCTGTGGAGAAAGAAAATTCAGGACTTAAACTTGAGCTGCAATCTAGACTTGAGGAACTAGAATTCAGGATCGTTGAGAGAGATTTGAGTGCAGAAGCTGCTGAAACAGCGAGCAAGCAACATCTTGAGTGCAAAAAGAAGGTGGCTAAACTTGAAGCTGAGTGCCAGAGACTAAAAGCCATAATTCGTAAAACATTTTCTGCTAATGATCACAAATCTTTGGCTTCCTCTTCAGTTTATGTGGAGTCCTTTGCAGATAGCCTGTCAGATAGTGGAGAAAGGCTACAGGCTATTGAAAGTGATGTGCGCAAATCAGGTGGCTGGGAGATGAATGAATGCGGGCCAAGTCGTTCTGACTCATGGGCATCCGCTTTAATCACAGAACTTAATCAGTTTAAGAATGAAAAGGCCATTGGAAAAAATCTTGTGGCCCCTCCAGTTGAGATCACTCTCATGGATGATTTTCTTGAGATGGAAAGACTTGCTGCACTGCCAGATACAGAAAGTAGAAGCATTTCTGCTGAGGCAGGACTGGCATCAAGTCAACCCAATGCTGACCAAAACGCAATCAGAGATGAACTGCAAGCTATAATTCAAAAGAATACTGAATTGGAGGAAAAGGTGGAAAAGATGGAAGCAGATAGACTTGAGAAAGAGATGGCATTTGCTGAGTGCCGAAAGCAGCTTCAGGCATCACAGAGTCGAGTAAAGGAAGCAGAGTTGAAGGTAGCAGAGCTTCAAACTAAGTTAGCTCTTGTAAATAAGACAAATCAAGAAGCTTATGAAGAACTGAAGTCAACCAAAACAAAATATAAGGAAACTGCATCAAAATTAAGAATTGTTCAAAGCGAAGTAGAGGATTTGGTTTCAAAAATTGGTTCATTGGAGAAGGAGATTGAGAAGGAGCGAGCTTTGTCTGCCGAGAATGTTGCCAAGTGTGGGAGGATGGAAGTTGAACTTTCAAGGATGAAGCATGAATCTCAACTAGAGCTAGAGGCTGAGAAAATGCACAGAGAAGGCGTTAACATTGAGTTGAAGTTAAAGCAGGTCAGTTTGCTAAAATTAGGAACACTGGAAATCTGCTAATTATTTGCCATTCTGCATAAATGCTTAGAAAAGAGCTATTTTTTCCCCCAGAAAATAGACTTGCTAGTCAAACACTATATGTGTCCTAGGACTCCAAAGTAGCACGATAGCATGGCTTGTAAAATCATGCTTTGCCTATTCGAAATGAGATTTGCTGAACCACACTTGCTTTGCTCCCCGTTCAGTTCATAAGGATGGCATATGAATACATTTATCATTCATGATTTAGAATACATACCAGAGTAAAATTGCGGGAGACGTCAATTCTATTAAAATTAATTTTTTAGTCAATGGAAAAAAAGTTGTCACATTTGCCGGCATTGAAGCTAATATCTAGGGGAACTATAAATATGTGAAGCTTTGTTGGAATTGCATCGAATTAATGTCTTGCTTCACACGTTTAATTATCTCCACATTTTTATTGCAGGAGAAGGAACTTGCTTTGGCTTCTAGTAGGTTTGCTGAGTGCCAAAAGACCATTGCATCTCTTGGTCATCAGTTAAAGTCCCTTGCAACACTGGAAGATTTCCTGCTTGATTCAGAGAACCCTATGGACCTAACTCGTGAAGTTACGCCAAGTCCTAAAAATGGCGCTGATCCCTTGAAATTACATCACTTCGATCTGCCTAAAAGAAATCCTGAGTCATCAATATTGTTAAAATCATCTTGTGACCATGAGAAAAGCCGCAATGGTTTTGGTAAGTTCTCTGCTAGAAGTAAGAGTGTAAGCAGAACAGGAACTCACTGAATTAAGTCATACTTAAATGTGTTTATTCGTCCCTTACAGTCTCCTGGATTCAACATTTATGAATCCAAAGTTACATATTTTACTTTAAAAGCACTGGTTGCAGAAGCACAAGTTGCTCAAAGCATATAGTTATGTGTAAATCCCAATACTTGTAAAGAAAATGGTTTTGATGACCTGTTATCTTACAGCTGTCTTTGCTTTGCTTCTTTAATTCATTGGTCAGTTCAACAATGAGACAAGAATCCCATATATCAGGTGGAAATTTTTGGTTCTAATCATGCAACGGGATCACCTAGACAAGTTGATTTTTTGTTTCTTCTTGATTGTTTTTGATAGATTCTAGAAGAGGTCACGATATCTGTCATTTCTATGATTGTCTGTATGTGACTAATTCAAACTTGAAAGGCATAAAGAGATTCTCTCTCTCTTTTTGCCTTATAAGAAAAGATTGGTGGGGTCTAGTTGATTGGGTCTCTGCCTTCTGTTTATCTTTTCCCAACAACAGACCGGATGTAGTACTGGGGAAGATTCGATTGGGATTGGAGGTCTCATTTTGTTGCAACAAGGAAGTGAAATTACAATAAAGAACCTCACAGAAAAAGCTCGCAGTTAGAAGGATAATTTGCTGATTAGGAAATAAAGAAAGAAAAAATGGCGTTTAAAAAAGCTTGTGTAATAGAAGAGGGGGGGGGGGGCATTCAAACGTTTATTTCCTGTGATGCAAAAGAAATTATTTCCTAAGAATTCAACTGGATTTTTTTAGAATATTTAATTATTTTTATGTAAAACTTGATATTTACATACAAAAAGTTTGATTATTTTGAAATAAGTTATTCAATTTTTCGCTTTGTTAAAACTTATTATTTTATTTCTAAATATATATAATAAAATAAATTACACTAATCAATCCTAAATTTGGTTCAATTATGAAATTCTCCATCCTGTTTAAAAATCCTACACTAGAGCCTACGAGTTATAGGAAACTTTTTTGAATTGGGAGATTTCATGACCAAACTTATTAACGTCAACCCTTTTAACGTTTCAAAACATCAATTTAGTTCTTGTAGGTCTCACTTGGGATAAATTAAAATTAAGTTTTTGAGGAAAATAATACAAATAACTCCAATTCATATGTCAGTTGTTTTTTTTAATACAACATTTATTTATTTTTTTTACACGAGTTATTTATATACTTAATTTTATTTATTTATATTTATAGTAGTGTTGTATTGTTAATGAGAGTTCCAAAATTTTTTTATTTCAATTATTTATTTTTCATACATCAATTGTTTATTTTTTATACACGAATTGTTCATGTACTTGACTTCACTTATTTATATTTATAGTAGTGTTATACCATCATTTATTTATATTTATAGTGGTGTCATGCCATTAATAAAAGTCACAAATTTTCCCTCCGTTTCCTTATGTCAGTTGTTTTTTGTTTGAGGAGATTAGGGTTATTTGTGTCATTTCTCTCAAAAATTTAATTTCAATTTAGCCCATTAAAATTAAATTTCAATTTAGCTCAAGTGAAACCTATAAGGATTGAATTGATGTTTCAAAATTTAGGGGGTTGATTATCAATAAGTTTGATCAAGGTGGTTGAAGTAAATTTTCCCTTTTTGAATTTTGCTGAAACGACACCATTTTTTCCTTAAAAAGAAATGCACATTTAGTTATTTGCAATAACAATATACTACAAGGTACATAGTTTTTTAAAAAATTATGAAATTGTTATAAAATCGGCAATGATATATAATAGTGATACATTAGTAAATGTCAAGTGAGAAAAGACAAGAACAAATACAAGAATGAGAATATTAAAATAGATATGTAATCATATAATAAAATGAGATCTGTAATTGTTGTACATAGGAAACAACTAGCATAACATCAATTAAGAAGAAAAACTATAGTAAATAGATTAAGATGTCTTGAATATGCTTAACATTTTGAAATGATGGAGAGGGAGACCAAGAATACTTGAGGAAGTTACCCAAATAAGATCCGTCTTGGTTGTACATAAGAAAAAATTGGCATAACATCAATTAAGAAGAAACTATAGTAAATAGATTGAGATGGCTTGAATATGCTTAGCCTTTTGAAATGATGGAGAGGGAAATCAAGAATACTTGAGGAAGTAATCAAAATAAGATCCATATTGGTTGTACATAAGAAAAAACTGCCATAACATCAATTAAGAAGAAATTATAGTAAATAGATTGAGATGGCTTAAATATGCTTAGCTTTTTGAAATGATGAAGAGGGAGACTAAGAATACTTGAGAAAGTTATCAAAATAAGATCCGTATTGGTTGTACACAAGAAAAAACTAGGATAATATCAATTTACAAGAAACTATAGTAAATAGATTGAGATGGCTTAAATATGCTTAGCCTTTTGAAACGATGGAGAGGGAGACCAAGAATACTTAACGAAGTTATCAAACAGGAGCATCATGATAAACGATATATGCAAGAAAATTGTTGTTGATGGAGCCTGATGAATAAACCTAATCTCATTTAGATAGATAAGATTGTTTGTTGCTGTAACACCCTCAAATTTACAGACCGATTTTTCACAAGTTATTAATTCAACAAATCCTTTTTTTTATTTTTTTTTCATTGAACCCTTATCATGGTAGAAAAATTTCTACCACGATACATCCAAGACAATATACCACAGGTCTTAAAATATCTCAAAAAAAACAATTAGAACCATGAGGGACAGACATGATCCTCATAGCATGTTATTCAAATCAGATCATAAATCAAGAGCGACAGACATAATCCTCTTGGTCATATAAATACTTTTAATAAAAAGGATTAGAGTTTACATGCTTCACAAAGAAGATATGTCCTAAGTTGGCACAAGATACATTGTATAATCTAAAATAAGAGGCAACGTAAAAGATGGTGTCTCATATACCACAGTTACACCTCTGGTGCTTTCTCGGCCGGACTCGCTCCTGTAAAAATATTAACCACGGGGAATGAGACTTAAAAGTCCCAGTAACCAAAAATTAATATGTAATGATGCATGCGGATGTAACTAATCATGCGATTGCTAAGTGGGCACACAAAACATTTAACCGAACAATACTTTCAAACAAACCGAACAAGTATTTAATTTGCATGACTGCACCTTATATCCTCCTTTCGCCATGCTCGGACGCCAAATCACCCGGCCAAAGGTGAGTTGGACCAAGCGACACGCCACTCATTGGGTCCAATGAGGGCTTATCACGTGGTAATAATTAACCGAACAGAAATTCCCATTAACACCATACATTAAAATACCCTGACAAGTCATGCATCATTCAAATATCCAAACAGGAATATATCCGAACAATAATATCTCATCATGATAAACAAAAATAAATTTTTAACCCACTTGGCAATAATTTCAAACAAGTATATACAGTATTTATTTTCAATAATTCATAATTTTTCCAAACAACAAAACAACACATAACCATTCACAAACACACTCATCACAACACATTAATAATGGTTACCTTGTGTCTTGAATAACAAGTTCCCCTTCACAACTCCTTTTTCACCACTATCTTTGTCAATATAATCTACATAATTATTTCACAATACTATATATTAATTTTACATTAAAATAAATAACTCTAATTTAAATAGTTAGAAAGTCTTAGATCTATAATCTATATTAACACTAATTTAAGATTTATGCCTCATTTAACTTCCCAAATTCTTTTCTAAAATTCTCGTACCCTAATAAACTATTTTTTTTATCCTCAAATCACTTCTAGTATCACAATTTCATCCTTCTATATTCTAAAAATTCGTCCAAAAATAAATTAAATTTTTAAAATTATCCTGAAGCCTCAAATCACCTTTCTATAACCTCAAAAATACCTATTCATACTTAAATAAATATTTAATAATCATAGGTTTATCCCTACATCTCAGATTCCACATAAATTCAACCATATAGATCTAGATTTTAACTCAAAAATTCTTAAACATGAGTTTCAACCTCAAGAAAATATTCTATAATATTTATTATATCCCTAAGAGTTTTAACCTATATTTTTAATCCATCATATCATCAGATTTACTATCCTATAGAAAAAATCCTAATCAAAATATTTACTCTATCCTACAAAATAATCATATCACTAGAAAGCTAATATTATTTAAAAAATAACTATAAAATTAATTTTGTAATTAAATAAATTTTTAAATGCTAATCTAAACAGGAAAGTTAGAACATACCTGAAGAAAAAAAGAAAATAATCCCCCCTTGCGAGAAAACGCCGAGCAACGTGAGAGGAAGAGAGAAAAATAATATAAAAATAGGATTGTGAGTCCCAAAATTATATTAAAAAAAAACTATAGGTTTGAATTTAATTATTCAAACCTTTGGGCCTAAAGTTGCAATTTTCTCTAAATTGCATCTTAGCCTCTCATGCTTCCTAATGCACACCCCCCTCCTTTTTATACATGAAGGCACCTCTTCTTTTCCCTCATCTAACTAATGTGGGACTTAGAAACAACAACCTTCCACCCCCCCTTTTTTTTGTTCCTTCTACCTTCTCTTTTTTTTTTAACACACACATAAAAAAAATTATTTATGTATTATATCTTAACTAAATATTGCTTATGTGGTTTTAAATTTAAATTTTTAAATTCATAATTAAATACCTAATCATAATATTATTTCTAAATAACCTCAAATAATATAAATTCCTATTATTATCATTTTTTTTCCTCAAAACCTAAATTCCACAATTTCTTTATTATATAAAAATCAGGATGTTACAGTTGCTAGTGTAGTAATACATATATTGGATTCTAAAAAGAAAGAATCTCATTTAGTACCCTTAGAACACAAAATTTTGCATCTATGGCCCAATAAAATTTGAAAACGCATTATAGGTTCAAGAGTCCTTCTTGTAAATTTTGTTGTGGATGACAAGATGCTTTTTCCCTTATCTTAATAGAATGTCCATGTATGTACAACATGACGTTTATGAATTTTCAACATAATTTTCATGAATGCACAACACATCTGGTGGACATTAACTTGAGGTATATTATTTTAATGAAAGTATGTTGTTCATTATGGACTTTATGTTGTACATATGTTGTAGGTTTACATATATCCATTGTGTTGAGAATTGATAAATATCGTGTTGTATATTTATAGATATTATGTTGTTCATCTTTTGCTTGCTTGTATATTTCACTTCAAGTTAAACCATGTATGTCTATTAAATGTGTTGTGCATTTATGAACATTGTGTTGATGATTCATAGACATTGTGCTGTGTATACATGAACATTCTGTTGAGACAATGATAAATGCGTTTTTTTCATTCACAACAAATTTGCAAGAAAGGCCCTTAGGCTTGCAATGCGTTTTCATATTCTATTAAGCCCTAAATGCAAATTTTTGTATTCATGAGGCCCTAGGTGAGATTTTCCCTATTAAAAATTCTATATAATTTCAATAAAAACTTAGTTTTGTTTACTCCAAGTAAGTTCTAAAATCAGGTAGATATTGTGCGTGACTAAAACAATTTTATGAAAACCTTACAATTTACTCTCATTATATATATCATTAAAATTAAAATAAAAAACTGAAGTCCCTGAATTAATATTTTTCCTTAACATTAAGTTATTGTATCTCCATTTTTTTCTCAGGAAAACAATTGAACTCACATGGCCAGATGTGGATTAAAACTTAATTAACTCCTAACTCCACCAATCCTAAAGAACCATCAAGCTGGAAGTTTATTGATCATCACCATATCTCCATCATGTTACTGCAGTGTTTTCAAATTTGAGAATTGTTAGATAGTTTGAACTAATATATTTTACAACACTTATTATAGAGTTTATAATTTAGGCGAGTCAAGCTTATTCAAACTTAGCTTGAATAGACTCAAATGGCCAAATTTAGCTGAATACCCAAATTATCAATTTTTTTAATTTAATTTTTTACTTTAAAGTTGGTTATTTTTATTTTATAAAAAAATATAATTTATACTTTTTGGGAATGATGTAGAAGACTCAAATTTTTTTTTAAAAATATGTGGGTCTTAAAACTTAAAAATCAATATATTAAAATACATTTTAAATATTATTTTGAGATATTTTATATATTAAAAATAATAAAAATATGATAATATAATTATTTTTTATTTTTCTAAAAAAATCTATAACAATGTACTATATATGGTATTTTAGTATAAAATGATCTAAAATTTAAACAATTTATTAATATTTAGTATATATTTATATAGTTTTTAAAATGATTTTTTTTTTTGTATTTGGCTAAGCCCAAACTCAATTGGGCTTGGTCTGAATATTAAAAAATGTATAATTTCACTAAGCTCGATCCTAAATTGTTTTGAATTTATTTAAGTTGACTCGTTAAGTTTGACTTGAATTAATAGATCTAATCGATTATAAATTTCAACTTTGGTCTCTTAAGAATTCAATTGATTAAGCCTTTCCTTGTCATTTATGATTTCTTAACTTGAATGTAGTAATTTCAAGGCAAATGCATGATCTCCATTGGTCCCTTTTTTTAATTTCTCTTTCAAATCAAAACTTCATGTTCCTCAGCTGATCTGATAAATAAGCCCAAAAAATTTCTAAAAAGCCAATCCTTGTAAACAGAAACTTCCCTCAGGAAGGGAAATAAACAAGCAGAAGAATCCCATGAGAAACAAGGCTCTGCTTGTGTCAGCTTCAAAGAACATGCAACGTAATTTACATTACTTCCTTCTTCTGATATGCCACACCCTATCCATCTTTGCTTAGCAGATTGTAGAAAACCTCTGGCTTTCTCTGCTCTGACTCGCAAATGGCCTGGAATCACAATAGTACCATGTGTTTAGCACTGAAAAGGATGAAAAATCCTATTTTAACCCTATAAATAAACGTATTTTCACTGGAAAATGACCCTTTGGTACCTTACAAGAAGAATGATGAGTTGACTTGGGAACGTCCGAATCTCAGTTGAAAATTATGGAAACTCAATTGAAAATCGTTACTTCATTCTTTAAAATATATTCATATTTTTCAATTTAATTCCTATAATTCAATTACTTTCCATTATGCTGACTTTATGTGACACTGTAAGCTGTAAGCTAGCAGTGTTAAGTAAGCTATGAATGTCTATATTAGCAGTTTATTACGCTTGACAATAAGTTTTGAAAAGCATTTTAATAATTAGAAGCGTTCCCATCTTGAATGACAGTATTTTCCCCCCCTAGAAGTTAAAACTAGACAAACCATAAAAATGCATCATCTTGAGTTTGAGATCACTGGCAGTAAGAGAAAATTATCATAACACACGCTATTATTATTTATGCAAAAATAAGTATAGGGAGATTTTATTTCACCTGCATTGCAAATGCCAAGTGAATAATTGTTGCTTCTGACCAAGGCCTTCCAATAAACTGAAGACCAATAGGCAAACCCAATTTATCATACCCAACCTGTGAAGGACCATTTATATACCTTATAAAACACCTCTTGCAGAACAATGTACTGTGAAGAAAAGTGTAGCACAGTTTGGTAATTTCTTACTGAAACAGTCACTGCAGGAAGTCCCAGAAAGTTTCCAGCTATGGAATATCTAATTAGTGCAGCTAAAAAGGCATGAAGCAAATCAGATTTTGCAAGGCATTTGTAAAATTAATGTCGTCAAGTTTTTGAGTTTCACGTGTGTATATATAGTTATATACCTCCATTGACGTAGTCAAGCTCACCAGTCTTGAGGGCATCATCTTGGATGGAATACGCAGTCACACTGTTTCAAATATCAGGAACATGTAGGATAAGAGCAACCTTCTACTAATCAAATGAAAGACATCATGTTCAAGTTTGAGAAATTAGTACGAGAATAGACAAACCCTGTGGTTGGTGAGACGATAACATCTGCCTCAGTAAATATCTTCTTATGAAACTGTAACTGGCGATTCCTATACACATTAGAACAGATATGTCAAACATGCTTACAAGTTTGTGCTTCATCGCCTGGTTTATTTATCATTGGTGACAATATGTTGACTTTAGTTTCAAATTTGGTCAGACAAGACAGGGTGTACCTAATTTTTTGAGCTTTTACATACTCCTTGCTGCTGAAAGCACCGTAGATGTTGAGAGCTACTCTTGCATCCCATCCTTGTTCTGCAACATATTTTTCTCGTATCGAATCAAGCCACGTGCTACACTCAGATCCAATTGTTAAATAATGTGCCAGCCTCATCACTTCTATCTCTGGTATGGTCACTTCTAAAGTCTTTCATGTTTCCCAAAAAAGAAAAAAAATTAAGCTGGCAGGTTAGGTAGTTAATGCTATGAAGTTTTCCAACAGGTTCAAATGTAATGATTCTTAAGTAGCTTTGGTCAACTCAATCATAAATTGAAATGTAAATGCTTGCTTTTTAATGATATGTTTGTACAATTATTTATGATTAGTTTATTTGATTTATATTTTCATCTGAAAATTGAGTTTAGATATTTTAAAAAAAATGAGAGTTTTATAATTGGTCAGACCTGCCAACCATAATGTTCCTGAAGCTTGTTCAAAGCTTGAGAGCAGCATAATCTTACTTCATCACTGCAATCATCAAACCACTAATTGACCAAATTAGTGGTTGGCCAACAAATGATATATCAGAAGTCAAGTCAGAACCTGAAACAAGCTACTTCTTTAATATATATATATATATATATCTATATCAATGAATTATTAATTTAATGAAATCTAGGGCATGCAGCAGGTTACCAACCTTCCCATATTTCGCCAACTTGATTTTAGATATGGACTTTGTCAGGCCCAGCAATGGAAGATGCACCTATGGACAGTTAAGAAAGACAGAAATTAGGACAAAACCTTATAGTTTTTATTTTGGGCTTAGAGATTTCTCAAGCCCAAGCCCAAATTATCTATATAGGCCCAATACTTGAACTTATAAACAAGTTCTTACTGGGATGTTCGAGGATTGATGAGACGGAATTTCACCACTGATTGCAGCATAACTGTAAAAAAAACAGAACAGTAAAAGTTGTGGAAGCTAATCTGTGAGTTGCTTGAAGGAGGAATGTATTATAGTAGAGAAGATCAGTAATACTAACACTATCAATGCATCTTCAACAGTGCCTGCTAGTATTCCTACCATCCCCACTGTCCAGTTCAGAGGAAGAACTCTGAAAGTAGCAGAAGAACATTATTCTAAATCAGTACAATCTATTGGTCAATAATTATGGTACAAAAAACAACGTAGGATTACTCACCCAGAATGAGGTACACGACCAAAAGTTGGTTTCAGACCAACAACTCCACAAAGAGCTGCAGGCATTCTCACAGATCCTGACCAAGTTATACAAGAAAATTAATGATTCACTATCTTCTATCTCATATCTTGTTTACAATAAGATAAAAATTACATGTTTATTTATGATTAACTTGGTCTATCTTTTATTTGTTTCAAGATTGAGTCCATCCAAGAATTGTATAAATTAGAGTACTAGAATGTGAATAATAAAGATATACCCGGAAGATTAATATCACCATGCTGACTATGCTGATCTTCATTTATAAACAGAAGGATAAAAACTGTTTTTATAGCTCCTCTAAGATGGTGTAATTCTCAATTTAACCTTTAGGGGTACTTTTTTTTAAAAAAAAAAAATTACAATGCTTTTATCCTTGAAGCTGAAGAAAGACATGAAACAAGATCTCCCTCTTAAGAAATTAATAATGATAAAATATTAGTACCTCCTCCATCAACACCAAGGGCAACAGGGCAAAGTCCTGCAGACACAACTGCTGCAGATCCACTTGAAGAACCTCCTGCAATCTTGGTGAGGTTGTACGGATTTCTAGTAGCGCTACAAGGTAGTTAAACAGACATGTTCTTGTCATAACCAATCTCAGAAGAAGTCAAAAAGGAAGCCAATTTTGGTGATGAATTATGATTAATAATTTAGTAGAAAATCATTTATTCTCTTACCCATAATGTGGATTAATGCCACTAGTTCCAGCCCCAAGTTCATGCATATTGGTTTTTCCAACAATTATGGCTCCACATAATCTTAGACGCTTAACACAACAAGCATCATCTTTACAAGACCTTTCTTTGTGCAGCCACTTTGTTCCTCCTGGAAGACATTTATTTATTTATTTCCTTTTAGCTTGTAAATGAATAATTATCAGACGATTGAGCATTTAAGACACAAGAAGGCTACCTGTGGTTGGATACGGCAAGCAGTCTATTTCATCCTTGACAGCAACAGGAACACCATCAAGCACAGAAATAGGTTCTCCTGCCAAAGCAAAAAAAATTCATATCATAATCTTCTGTAATGAACACATACAAGAAAATTCATATCATAATCTCTTGTAATGACCAGCTATGTTATATAGTAGTGAATATTGAGCTTTAATGGGACAATAAGAGCATAAAGTTGGAATGGCAGAGATAAAAATGTCAAGATGGATGTGCTGGTATACATGTAAAGATAAAATCTAAAATGAACATACAATAACAACAAGCCTTATTCCACTAGGTGGGATCGGCTACATGAATTATATGACGCAATTATGCTCTATTATTTATTAAGCTTTTAGAAATATCGTTAATTAAAAGATCTCGATCAACAACTTCTAAAAGTATTCTCTTTGGCCTTCCTTTACCTTTTTTGACAGGGTTCAAAGTTATTTGTTCCACTCTTCTCATAAGTGCCTTCCGTGGTTTTCTTTGTACATGTCCAAACCACCTTAAATGATTTTCTACTATTTTTCTTTCAATAGGTGCAACACCCACTTTTTTCCGTATGTGCTCATTTTAAATTTTGTCTTTACGTATATATCTGCACATCCATCTCAACATTCTTATCTTTGCTATTCCAATTTTATGCTCTTGCTGTCTCATTAAAGCCCAACATTCACTACCATATAAAATATGAAATGAGCATATACAAGAAAAAATGAGCGTAGCACCTATTAAGGAAAAAATGATAGAAAATCATTGAAAATGGTTTGACCATGTATAAAAAAGATCACGAGAGGCACTAGTAAGGATAGTGAATGGATAATTTTGAGCTCTGTTAAGAGGGGTAGAAGAAAGTCAAAGAGAACATTTATGGAAGTTATTGACTAAGACCTTTTAGTTAACAACATTTGCAAAAATTTGGTGAATAATAGAGCACAATGAAATCGTACAATTCATATAGCCAATCCCACCTTGTGGGATAAAACTTCTTCTTGTTGTTGAATCTTCTATAATTCAAGTACTATTTCAACTGCTTAAATTTTCATTCCTTGGCCTCCAAGACTAGAAAGTAGAAGTACAAGATTTATTCAATGAGTTGAGTCCATGTTAAGTTAGAATAGTTCAGAATGCCAAAAGCCCAAAAAAATATCCAAATTCATGAAATGAGTTTTAATGGGATTATCATATACCATCATGAAATTTAAATTGCTACGATATACCTCTTTCATATCTAAGAGTAGATTCCTTTGCTTGTCTTAGTATGTCTTCATTATTTGAGTCAATAAAGAATGCCATCTGGTAAGGGGGGTTTGCTGATTGACTAACAGCAGCTATAAATCGTTCTGCAACCTATGAAACATTATATATATATACACATGATCATCATAGAGACATGAAAAAAAAATTAGATTTTGAAGGATAAAACTTAAAGCAATTTAAGTTCCGATAAGTGAGCAGAGTGATGATTAAAAAGTAGATGAAATACCATAAATGGAGTTGTATCTCCTGAATTGTAGGCTCTGTGGTAGTCCATTATTGTCCATCGAAAGAACGAAGGCTTCTTTTCTGAATATATAGCAGGCAAGCATTCTGTTGCAAGTTGAACTTGCCGTACTGGAGATAAATCAGATTCTAGGCATTTTACTTCTTGTTCTTTAGGATCTGCCAAAAAACGATCTTACATGGGCAATTAACTCTTCACAGTCCAGATCTCTAAGAACTGTAATCATTTTTCATCAAAAGAAACTTAGAACTTGATTAGATCAACAAACCTTCAAAAGGATGCAAGGGAACAAAGAGAGGAGGCTCTTCCAGTTCTGCATGTGTAATAAGCTGCAGAAGGAATTGAACACAAACATCAATAATCATTGCCAGAAGAAAAACTCTTGTGAATGAGAAGTATATACATGGAATCTCAGCTTTCATGTGACAGGATGGATTAAGAACATGCCTTGTGAATGAGATTGTTTCCTTTCAAGATGTACAGTAAAAGGGTTCCAAGTAATGGAATCTCCATGAGCCTAGCGAAAATTTTGACCAAAATTCCAGTCATGCGAGGAGCTGTAAGTGAAAGACCATTAGTATTTCGATTGTATCAGCAACAACCACCGAAGACTCTGATAAAAAGTTTCAAATTCATGTCTCTTTTCCTCAGAACCAAGATTCATTTCATAGTGAATGAGCACAAAGAATATTCAGAATCATGGGGCCGTTCTCAACCTCCTCTGCTTCGAACCAGAGAAGTATCATGCAAAACTCGACAGGAAAATGAGAGCTAGCAAGAAAGGAGAAAAGAAAGAATAAAGTATTAAAGCATGAACCTTTGACATTGGCCTGAAGATAGAATTCATCACTATGGGGTCCCAAATCAACATCTTTCACGGGTCTGTAAACAAGAGGTTTAGCTTTGAGCAGACCCATCAGAACCGGGATGTACTTGGGAAGTGACAAATGAGCAGAGAGGGAAACGTTGGTTTCTACTTAAAAAGGAAATAGAGGAAGAAGGAAGAAGAAGAAAAGATCAGAGAAAGAGTAGGCGGAGAAAATGATAAATGGAGACAATACAAACAAACGAGGCGTATTATATAATCTTGTGCTATGGGGTCCGGTTCTGGTACTATGAAATGATGACAACAAGAAAACACGTCGTTTTCGTGAACAAGGTGAAAAGTACTGTACGAGTAAAACAGAGATTAACATTGTACTCTTCCCTGAGGCATTCCATGTCAGCCTAACAGTGTCCGACTTCCTAACTGTTTTTCCCGTGCACTCAGCAATGTTCTCTACCGTTGTGCTTCCTACAATTTTATCAGATTTGAGTTGGTTTAAATTTCTGAAAAAAATTATATGTTGATAATGAGTGACTGCTCACTGGATTCAAAACCAATTTTAGTTCCCTATCTAACTTGTTTGTTTGTGGATTGCAATTGTGCTATACTGGCCATTCGAATTTTTTTCCTAAAATAATACACAACTCGAGAAAAATACAATTGATGTTCAGTTTAAAAAATTAGTAGCATCAGTTAAAGATTTTGTTTTGGCATAATTTATTTGACTGTATGCAAGTTATGGAGGCCCTATAGAAACTGAACAAATCAGAAACTAATGCAGAGGGGAAGACAATAGAACTTTCTTGGGATGACAGACTATTAAAATTCGGAATCCTATATATTTATAATTATTATATTACTCAATGCGATCTTGTTATTGTTTTTGTTGAACTGGTCAACGCAGTGTATCAGGTCTGCATGCAGAGAGCTGACCAGTGAGAGACACTTCAAATATCAAGGCAAAAAAAAAATTTATCAGATTTGTGTTGAGGTCAATTAAATGAACTTCACCAGAGTTTGAATTTAACCCTTAGCTTTTGTTGTTTCTATGGGGGTGTTCCACTGGAATCCGTGACGACATTTTTACAAGAAGTTGTGCCTGCATGTTGCATTGCCATATCTAATCAACAATACCTCTGTCAACAAAATAAAGAGAACAAAAATATTGCGTTTAAAAAAGGGATAATAAACTTGACCATAGTACTCCTTGAATAAGATTGCCTTTCACAGAAGGCAACTGTGCACAATTTTTTTTTTTAAATAAAGCTCCTCTTATCCCAACTTATAAGATTCTTTTAGATAAAAGTACATATATTAATAAAACTTTGTATAACTTTATTTTTTAAAAAACAAAAATATAAAATTTTAAAAATATCATTCATTTAATACTTTATTTATGAAAAAATATTAAATAAAGAGAATATATGATAATATTAAAAAATATCATCAATGATATCTTATTTTTTATAAAAATATCTTTTATTTTATGATGTCAAATCTCATTCAAAACTATCTTATAAATTGGGTAAGGTAGACTATACTATTTTAGTCTTAAAAAAAAAGGAAAGGTTCTCTCTGACTTTGAACCGAAAGCTAAAGAAAACAAAGACAATGATGAATGCGTTGTGTACCTTATCATGGAGGAGGCCCACTTACTCTATGTATCTCTATTTTTTTTAAAAAAAAAAAACAATATGGCATTTAATATTGTTGATTAATCTAAATTTCACCACGTATGTTCCTTCACTAGCTTGGTTTTCTCTGATTCAAAAGAAATTGAGTCTCTTCCAGTAACATAATGGTCCAGTAATCTTATTCTTTTCTTTGACTTGAAGAATGCATGCCTGAATAGGATGAATTTCATTAACATGTGAGATCTCATTACTTTTGTTAAGTCATATTAATCGGATTGGTAGCTTGCTAGCACTTTTTTAAAAGATGCATTCCATCAAGAATTTAATTGTTATCATATACTCGGGACTTAAATATGAGGCCTTTGGTTAAGCTAAATAAACACTCTTAATGATTGATCCATGCACCCGGTAGCATATCGTTATGTTATTTGGTAGAATTGGTTAATTTCAATTTGAGCACTGTGGAATTCAATAGAGATGACTTTTTCTTTTAGATAAGTTATTCCTTAAAACCCCTTGACTTTTACTTAAATGACATGAGAGTCCAGCATGCATTATGAATTTTCAAAAGATAGGAATTGATGTGCAGAGGAGGAAGTTAACAAAAATGGGGGAGGAGTGTGAGGGAAGAAGGATCTGAATAGAGTGAAGTGGTCCTGCAAATGCAATTAAAGAGAGTGCAAAATGCAGGTAAAATGGGATCCATGGATGCTAGTAACGAAATATCAATGCGTGAGAGTTAATATTGAGAAGGACAAGCAACAGAACTCATGGCCCTAATAGTTAATATTCTTGTACCATAGCAGCTTGGGAGGCTTCAACAGTCTCATCGGCCAGTTAATGGATCACCTTTATTCAATCCCTTGTGAGGGGGCAAACCCACCCTTTTAGGACATCCACATATTTTATTCCAACCACGTGCTTCATTTCTTTAGTGGTTGTTATTTATAAGTTTTTTTTTTTAATTTAAAGTTCGTCTCCTGCTATTCTAGAAAATCTAGAAATATTATCGCCCTGATAGACTAATTTAAATTTTTAGTATATGAAACTGTTATTACTCATGGCAGCTACACAGGTGTTGTGGTGATATTTTTGACATTTTTATTCAACACAATTGTATATTTTAGGTTTGAATTTGAAACTTTAAAATAAACTCGTTCAATTCTCTTAATAAGTGAATAAAGTGTTATTCTATATTTATAAATTATTTTCAACACATTTTACCAGAACTAATATAAAACTTGAGACTCATTAATTTTTTTTTAAATTTAAATTTTGTCCCTATTATATATATATATATATATATAATTTAATAATTTATTTTCTTTCTTTAACATTTAATGAGAATAAAAGAAAAAAAATTTTGATAAAAAAGTGAATGATTTATGAATATGAAGTGAAGGAAGTACATTTGTATAAAATCAAATCTTTATGTTCCTCTTGCTATTAATTAGTTTCTTGTTAACAAATAACATGAATATATCATAAATAATGGGGTTGAATGATCAAACATCTTAAGCAAGATTTCGGTTTCAAGTCTTGCAGGTGAAACGTCTAAATTAGGTTTCAGGTAAGCTCAAATCCTAACTAATTATGGGATAGCTTGTTAAAATTAATATACCTATAACCAGTGAATCAACTCTCAGCGAATTGTTAAACCAAAAAAAAAAAATTCAAAGGATTCAAACAGATGCAGTGAAATTTAGAGATCAATGTATCATTCGATCTTTTTTTTTTCTTTTGAAAAATAAAATTATTTTTTAAATTTTTTTATAGTTTTCAAATATGAAGCATTTACCATACATTTGAACAATTCAAATTGATTCTTAATTTTTTTTTCACTCTAAATAGATTTTCAAATTACAATTAGGAGATCCTTTTTTTTTAAAAAAAAGTCAGTTGTTTAAATAAAAAATTAAAACAAAAAGGAACTTAAATCAAATTATTCATATCAAACATAAGTGTTGTTTAATTCAAATATGGCATCATATTGTCTAAAATTGCACCCACTTCGGTGGAACATTATGGAATCCTTTAAGAGGATTGAGGCCTACCCCACTAGCAGCGAAGGATTAAAGATAAGATAATGACTTATTAATAAAAGTTAGTTTAGTTAATAAAAATTTAACTTATAATTAATAAGGTTGTGAGTAGGACTATTTAAGGTGCCCGGTTGCCTGACATGCCCGAACCAACCAGGTGAATTTTTGCCCTGTCCAACTCAAAAAAAAAAAAAAGGAGCCCAACATGATTCGGGCAGGGCAGGTCAGGGCTAAGTTAATGTACAGGTAAGGTCAGGCAGCAGGTAGGGTATGTTACCTTGTCCATTTAGCCTTGCTCGAGATTTATATATGTTATATAATATAATTTATATTTTTAGTTTAAATCTTAAAATGTGCCTTTGTTTTTCTTAATAAAATATATTTCCAATTCACATTTTAAGTTAGAGATTTGTGTATTCATCATGTAGATTTAGGATGTTGATACACCGTTGGTAATAGCATTCCACCTTGTTCAAGTTTATTTTCCAAGTGACCAATTTATGTAGATTTTCTTTTAAAATTATTAAGTTATCTTTTTTCATTCATATATATCTGTATTCATTGTCGTGGCTAAATTCCCGATTAGTTCTTTTTTTTTTTTGGTTAACTTCTTATTACTTATTCTATTTTCAACTTAAGCTTGTTATTATTGCTTGTTATTTAATAATAGGTTTTCATATTTTATGATGTGAATTCATAGAGTATGGATATTATTTTAAATTGAATTATTAAATATATATATATATATATATTTTTAAATGATATCTATTAAGTTTGATTTAATGAAGTTTTCTTTACAAATGTTGAACAGGGTAGCCCCAAGGTGCCTAGCCAATTCTGCTTAGTCTAAAATGGGGTTTTTAATGGGTTGGGCTAAGTAACTGGCTGCATTTTGTAGCCTGTTCAACCTTTAGGTAGGAAACCTGCCCTGTTCATGTGTAGTTCTAATTGTGATGTTAAATTTCACAGTAAATGTGAAGATCATGCTAGTAAGTGATTTGTAAGTATTTTTATTAATGCTCTTTAAATTTAGAAGAATCCCTTGACCTTAGATTAAATTTATCTAAACTTTTCTGGCTAAAAAAAAAAAAGACAATGACTTTGGCCGAAAAAAAGGATAAGATAACGACCGTTGACTTTTCTAGCAAAGGAAGTTGCTCCAGCCAGGACGAATATTGCTCGTTAGTTAATAATTAATACTTAAAATGAAGCTTACGTAGCAAGCAGTGTGGTTTAGGTAGTACCATTGTTAATGCCTCCTGATTAGATAAGAATTTAATTAAGGAAGTCAAACCAAATATTTACCGAAAGTTGGTCATCCTTCTATGTAATGGTAAATAAATTTCACCTTTTAGGTGCCCAACTCTTTGCCAACACACAACTTGGTTCAACTTATATAAATATTCTTTTTTTTTTACCTATATGTATGTGTGTGTAGACTCTTTCATGTCCTAATTATAGAGTAAAAATAATTTCATGATTTTAAAGAATCATAGTTAATATATTCAAGCTTGTAAAAAATATCTGACTTTTCA